ACTGGGGGGCTCAGACCATGACATAGTTGTTTCAACGTTGGAATTCGAGGCTGACAACATGTTGTCCCCAAAGTATAATTTTTTCCGCTATTTCCGATCAACTCGCTCAACCAAATTATTAACAAACCTTAATTCCTACGACTGGACAGATTTCTTCCTTAGTTCGGATGTAAATGTTTGCACTGCAAAACTGTACGAAATTTTGGGTCCGCTTATTTCTCGTTTTGTCCCCCGTAAGAAAATTATTAATGTTGGGGATGAGATTTTCCTACCTTTACCCTTTCGTCGCAGATTGCGCAGGCTTTATCGTCGTTTCCATCTGCAGAACGATGTTTCTGTCCTGCCCTTGGTTTGTGATATTTTTGAGGGGGGTTAGGGATTGTCTCAGGAAAACAGCAAGCCAAACAGGTCCAGTTTACTGAAAGCCATTCGTTAAATGTCTCGAAACTTTTCTCTAGAAAGATAAGACCTTACAGAAAGACGCAACATCCCTTCCTCCGAGACGCTTCGGAAATCCCGTAGTTGATGCCCACTTAACCGCTGATAGCTTCAATGATTTCCTGTCCAAAACGTTTATTGAAGACTCGACCACTCCGCTTCTGACCGTCCAGACATTGAGCGGGACAGTTCTAGAAACTATACATTTTACTCTGTGGGACGTGTCTTTTGCGATTCGGCGTTTTCGTCAGTCTTATAGCCCAGGACCTGATGGTGTCCTGGTGAGCATTTTAAAAGCCGATGCAAGTACGATTTTCTCCTCCGTCTTTTGCAAGATATTAAATCTCGCCCTTGAAAGTAAACTTATCCTACCTCGTGGAAGGAATCGCACATTTTGCCTATTCATATGCACGGCAAATCTACATCATTTGATGGCTTTCGGTCAATAAACATCCTCCCGGCAGTTTCGAAGATCTTAGAGACATTGATCAAAGATGAGATGATGTGTCATTTAACAGAGAATAACCTACCGAGTGTTACTTAGCATGGATTCCTAAAAACTACGTCTTGTGACACCTGCCAACTCTCTTTCTCTGACTATGTTCTCCAAACTAGGGACACTGGTTTTGCACTTTACACTTTATATTTCGATTTCACTAAGGTTTTTGATCGTGTTGATCATGCTCTTCTTCTCTTGAAACTGTCCGCTTTCCGAATAGGTGGCAAACTTTTGAATTTTATATCCTCTTACCTGGGCACTCCTACACAACGCGTTAAGATTTCCAATACCATCTCCAACCTCACACGTGTGAGGAGTGGAGTCATTCAGGGTAGTTTATTCGGTCCGCTTTTATTTTGCCTTTTCGTTAATGATATATCCAATTTATTTCACAATGGTAAGCCTTTCATGTATGCCGATGATCTGAAAGTTGCTTATCGACATAAGCCGACAGATCGTGACATCGTGCTTGAACTCCTAAAGAGTGATTTACAGGCCTTTGTCCAGTGGTGCCGCACATGGCGCCTTTCTCTTTCATGGCATAAATGCTCAGTCATGGTGGTCGGCGACGAACGCCAACCTCAACTAAGCATTGAAGGTCATTAAGGTTATTTAGGATCTGGGCATTTCATACCCCAAGCGCCTCAATCTCTCGGAACACTGCGCCTTGATAGTCTCCAAAGCACTGGAACAACCGGGTTTATCCTCCGAAACTTCAAAACTAGGGACATTAGAAAACGCCTTTTCATCATGTACGTTAGACCTGGTTTGGAATACTGTTCGTTTTCATTTAGCCTCATGCGTGCTACTGAGCGGAAGAAAATAGAATCCGTTCAACACTTTTTTACCAAGAGAGTTTTAACGCTGAACACCGACATTTGTCTTACCAAGAACGTTGCCGGCTTACAAGCCTTGATCCTATATGGTTCCGTAGATTACAAAAGGGACAATTTTTTCTATTTAAGCTCTTATATAATCACACATTTAACCCACCCACCCCTTTAAGACATCATGTCCACCCCCAAAGTGAAAATCATTATTAGGTCTTTATTTCTTTCTCTGGCACGTACTGTTAAATACTGTCGGTTCTTCTCTGTAAATGCAATTGCTAATTGGAATAAACTACCTAGAAATTTGAAAACTCTGCAAAATTATCCTTTATTTAGAAGAACTATCACTCGCTTTTTGCATTCAGAAAAACCTCCACAAATTTTGGGTGCTGAAACTTCTGATCGACTTTACCATAGAGATGGCGTTTGTGGTCTCTGACCACTATGGCCGGTCTCACCAGGGAATATTTCTTTGGCCAACAGCGATAGCTGTTCTTAGGCGCTTCTGCTTGGACTAGCCCCAACTTCATGAAAGAAGTTAGCGACTAATATTATCCTATACCGTGCAATCCCTCCCTTCTTGACGGTCGAAAGTTTGCTCCCAGCAGTTTTTTTCTCCTGAACACTCCAAACCATAAAAGCCACCATTAACTACATTTTTCTTCCTTTTCCACAGGAGTTTTTTCACTGCTGGCCGCATCTGTGTTTAACGCTTCACTGACAATGCCTGTTAACTTGCATTAAATAAAAAAATTATTATGATAATTATTATTATTCTTCATTCATTAGACCTCCTCCAGCTTCCTCCATCTCTAAGCGCCATTAAATTTCCGTATCCGCTTACATTTCCTTATTTTGCATGTAGTACCGCTTCCTAAGACCCTTTATCAGAAATGCTACTTTTTCGATTTTTCAGTTCCTGCATCGTGCACTCGTAGAATGTGCTCTTTCAACGCTCTTGGCGAAGCCTTCTGTATTCGCCATATACTAATAGTCTGGTTTTATCTCCCTCGTCCCTCCTTAGCTGGTTTCGGATGAATGTAACCGATCATTTCTGGGTTCCTTTCGCCTCGAGACTAGTTTTCAATTCGCCAATTCGACATAAATGGCCTCAGGTAGAATATGAATTCTGCCAAATTGTGCCCGTTTCAGACTTTTTACTCAAGGCCACCTATAAGCCAGTCCTGCCTGATTCTCTACTTAACCCTTAATGAAACCCTAACCAGAAAAAATAGGCTTCTAAAACTGTACCTCAACTTCCCAAAATCCACCTGCATGACGTAGGAATAATCCAAAACATTCTGGCATTCCAACCTTCTTACCATCTAGTGACAAACCCACAAATTACTTCTGATTTTACGCCTCCCCAACTGAAGCTCCATGTAGGTACAATTACCACCTAGTTAACCCGCATTTCAATATGTACGCTCAATCCATACAGACTAATCCATGCATCAAAATTCGCGATACGCATCACCATAACCTCCAAGACCCGCAAACCTACCTTCATCTAATCCATCACTCAATCAAAGTACCCTCAGAAATAATGTTTCCACCACAGCCCGAATCTTCTATATCTGACATCCTAAAGATAGCTCTTATAAATTCGAGATCGATTGTCAACAAAATATCTCAACCTTGAACTTTTTTGAAATATATAACCACGATATAATTTGCATCACAGAAACATGGGCAAATGAACTTATATCGAATGCTTCGCTATATATCCCTAATTATAATTTCTATCGACTGTAACGTGTTAGTAAACGAGGCGGAGGTTGTCTTATCTGCATCGCAACTAGCATTGAGTAAATTGGCATTGATGTTCCAACCGAAACCTTTGCTGGAGAATTGCGCATTGCCATAATAAAATCTCATGCCCAGAAAACATACTAGTCAGATGCCTCTACTCTCCTCCAGAATGTAGTAATGATGGCACAAGACTCAACCACTTACTAAACGATATAGCTAACAGAAAAACTGAATATAAGATAATCGCAGGCGACCGAAACCGCCCAGAAATAAACTGGGTCGAAGTATCGGCACCTACTAAGCACGAAGAATTGTTATCTTCAATTATCTTTAATAACTGGACACAAATAGTTGACAAACACACCCCAGGAAACAATATACTAGACGGTATTTTCACCAACGACATCTGGCCCCTCTGCTAGTTCGACCATCGGTTTCGATGATGTCCTCCGTGTGCTCCACAGTTGCAGCAGCAGTGGGAGCAGGGACGGTGGCTTACGCGGGGGTTTATAGTGCCAGTAGACTTGCATAGCATCTACCTACACTCTCTCCTCCTCCCTCGCCCGAGCCCGGTGTCAAGACAGAGTCCAGAAGACCGGAGACGAGGGAGGCCGCAGGTGGATGGCTCGGACGGATCCTCATCTTGGCGTTCCACCACACCCCCTGGTCCACACAACAATTACCAAGATTTCAACCAGCACAACAGAGATTTGGCGGCTGGCACGACCGAAGCCGCACCTAGGCGTACCGCCAACGCCTGGCTCGGATCCCACACTGTGGTGGGAGTGCCATAAAGGCCAAATTAAAAAGGAGCCATTGCAGCCTGACTCTCAGACCGCCTCCAGTCAAGGAGGAGGTCCATGTTACCCCGTCAGTTGGTAACCTTCCAAGCCACGGCTTTTAGCGCACCGTGATAGCTTCAAGCGCGTCGGATTGTTTATAGTGAGGAGAAAGTGCGCTGAGTCGTCGACCTCACTCTTCCTTTCCACTCCCACACCCCAGCCGCTGTCCGAGCCGGTCAGCAGACTGGAGTGGGGAACGGGCACGGTGGCTGTCATGGTCGAATGACCATGACTGCGCGCGCCACGGCACGACCTGGCCCCCCATACACACAACACTAGGATTTCACACAACGGGGGTTGAACGGCGTGTCTCCCACTTGCATGAGAGTGCGGTGGAAGGTGCTGTTTCAGCCCGTCCCCAGCCCACCTGTCCGCCACTCCACACAACACACACACAACGCGACGAACTACGTGAGCAGAGAGCGGTCGTGAATCAGCAACCTTCATATCCACTACACTTGACGTGTCGGGATATTCTCGGACTCAAGTCACTCGTGCAGCCGAAGCCGCATGGGGACCGAGTCGAGATGCGGACTTCCCACTTGCGTGGGAGGTGGCAGTTGGGTGCGTGTTGATGTGTGGTGGTGATGGTGGAGGAAGTTAGGGAGTGTGTGGATGTGTGGTGTAACCGGCGGTTGTCTACCGCAAGTCATCGTGGATGCGCATGTGGCCGAATAGGCCCATGCGATGCCTGAAAGTGCGAGGGCAGTGTGGGCAGTTGAGACGAGGTTGGTGGGTGTAGGTTGGTGCTCCAGGCACTGGTTCGCCTGTCTCAGTGCGATGGATTCGCAAGTGACCGACCAGGCCGATGCGTGAGGTGAACGTGCGTGGGCAGTGTGGGCATGAGAGGTCGACGTTGTCGATGTCAGCTGTAGAGGAAGCGGTGGTGGTAGTGGTGGTGGTGGTGGTGCTGGGCGCGTATGGCGATGGAGCGAGGGTGGTGCTGGGCCTGGTGGGTGCGTTGGATGTGGTGGGTGTGTCAGAATTGTGGTCAATTCCGCTCTCGTGAATGCGCATGGGGCTGTATAGACCCATGCGTTGCGTGAAGGTGCGAGGGCAGTGTGGGCAGTGGAGGCGAGTGCGGTGGGTGTAGGTTGGTGCTTCACGCACTGGCTCGCCAATCTCTGTGCGATGGATTCGCAAGTGACCGACCAGGCTGATGTGTGAGGTGAAGTTGCGGTCGTAGTGAGGGCAGGTGTTGTCCTGATCCTCATCGCTGGAGTCGGGAGAGGTAGGGATGGTGTCTGTTGTTGTGTCGCGTTTGGTGATGTGCGAGACGGCCGTCTAAGCGGCCGCCGTTGGGGCAGTGGTGGTTGAGGAGGAGGAGGAGGAGGAGGAGGAGGAGGAGGAGGAGGAGGAGGAGGATGGAAGTGGTGGGTCAGAAGAATTGTCGGAGTTAGTTTGCGGCGGAGGGGAGGAATAGGCGGGCGGGGGGCGGTCGTTAGTGCAGTTCGAGAGGAGCAGTTGATCCGAAGGTGTCCAACAAGTTTGATTCGAGCCCGGAATGTCCGCTTACATCGAGGACACGTTGGGAGCGGTTGTGCGGCGGCGTTGCGTACTGGGCGAAGTTGTGATTTGCGGGCTTTACGTTTCGCTTTGGCGGCAGCGATGCGGTTGGCTCCGTAGATCGCAGCGCCTGTCTTCACTGTCCTCCTCCAGGTCGGTCGATCGAGTGCGAGCTCCTCCCAGTTGGTGGGGTTGATTTGCAGGCGTCTCAGGAAGAACTTCATCGTATCCTTGTAACGGCGAATCTGGCCTCCTTGACGACGAGAACCCGTCGCGACGTCTCCGTAGAAGAGTCGTTTGGGTAGTCGCTCGTCGTCCATGCGCAGCAGGTGGCCGTTCCAGCGCAGCTGCATGTGCCTCAGTATGGCGTAGATGCTGCGGATTCCCGTCCGTTCCAGCACATCCGTGTCGATGATGCGATCCTGCCAGTTCATGCTCAGGATGCGACGAAGTCAACTGAGGTGGAAGGGGTTCAGACGGCGTGCCTGCTTTGCGTACACCGTCCAAGTCTCCGCTCCATACAGTAGTGTCGGCAGGATGACGGCCTTGTACATCTTCAGCTTCGTGCTCAGCTGAAGACCTGGCCCCTATATATGCGTAACGACTGCCTGACCTTTGAAAGTGACCACAGAGCCATAATATCAACACTCCCGTCAAATGTAAAACTAGCACCCCGTTTTAGTTACACCCGCCTAAACCCAAAAAAACTTGACACGGACTCCATGAACAACTATATTGGGTCATTGGACTGGCGCCCATATATTCTAAAAACATCGCCTATTGAAGCAGTTAACCTATTGTGCTCTGCCCTATTTATAATTCGAGTTAACTTGATAGGCGAAAGACTCCCGTATAGGAAATCACTAATCCCACAGTTTCTTTTAATTAAACTTAAAAAGCAGCTACACAACCCCTCTGTAAGTTACTTATCAACACTTCGACGAATTAGGGAAATTCAAGTCCTAGTTACGAAAATGGAAACAAAAAAGACCATAACAGCAGAACATCGGGCAATAGAATCCCCTGAACGAGAAGCTCAGATACTTAAGAAACAAATGAATAATCATCGACAGGCAGGACCACAAACTATTATTAATGAATTAGGACAAGTTATAACAAATGACAACCAAATGGCAAACGCATTAACCAGATACTTCTCAACTTACTACACAGTGGAGGAGGGAGAGATCCCCCAAATCACCGAAACGACAGATCGTATACTTAGTGAGATCCGTTTTAGTGAATAAACTGTTAAAGTAGCCATTAAACCACTATCCAACTCCAAATCTTATGAGACGGACGAAATCCCGCCATGTCAGTCAGTCAGTGTATTTGAGGGAAATAGGCTTACGCCTTTGAACTCCCTATTTGTACATAAAAAATCGATAAACAAGCAAAAATGTGAAGAAATTACAGCATTAAGTGAATGCATACATTGATTCCCATATGTCACTAGTCTCATGGCTGAAAAGTCACATAGTCCGCTTGTTGCTGCAGCATATATCTGTCAAGGCGACATTTAAATGTCTCTACAGATTGAGACATAACAACCGTTTCGGGCAGGTTATTCCACTGTTGCACAACACGGTTGGAGAAGAAATATTGACCGCTGCCAAATAAGCGGCCACAGGTCTTCCATTACGGCTACCTTACGTACTATTGTTTGTTCAGTAGGTGTGCTTGTGGTATTTTTTTTTGCCGCGGCGGCAAAAAAAAATACCACAAGCACACCTACTGAACAAACAATAGTACGTAAGGTAGCCGTAATGGAAGACCTGTGGCCTCCATGGCTAGAAGGAAACATTCAAACACACCTAGCAACCCGCCTCCGTAGGGTTTACGTGGAGTTCCCATTCCCTGTTGCCTAAAATTTATGTCCAAAATACAATGCAACTTCTATGCATTTACGCACACAAACTTCTCTTACTCCAAACCACCTCTGGGCAGTTCCCCATGCGTTGCAGTTGCGCTGTTAACTGCCCGTTTGACGGTTTCTCGGTTTACGTAGCGTTTCCCGTCATCATCTCTCGGTTTCCAATCATGGTCCACTTGCCTCTCCTCCTACGCATTCCGGAGTCCACCTAACTGACTTGCCAGCATTCCCATTTCGTCATTAGGACTACCACTTACGCCAGCTGTCCACTAACGTTTCCAGCCCGCCTTCAACTTCCGGGCGTACACCTGACCCTGCAGGCCTTCTCTCCGCATATTCTACAACACCCACCCCTCCCCCCCGAAACTAAAAGGCTTACAGCCTACGCCGTCCAAACATACGTCTGTCACTTTGGGGTAGCCTCTACCACAGGCATTCGGCTCTTAGACCACTGCCGTATTTACATACACCTCTACCGCCTAGTCCACGCCTTTCCCCTTCCCCCCTTCCGAAGGCCTGTAATCTACGCCGTGCCGATATCATTTCCCGCAGTACCGCTCCCTTTTACGCAAACTTACCGCAATCGACAATTCCTTCATCGGCTGTTTCCATTTCCGCCTGCTTCACAGACTACTGTCCCTCCCAACCGGCTTTGTTAGTTGACCTGATATGCCCTTCCCTGCGGGTGGGTCATGTCGCTCGTTACCAGCTACAGCTATTCCTACTTATCGTCTACCGTGGCCGGCAGCGGCCTCAGACAGTCTCTACGTATCTCCCAGTTCCCGCCCTAAAGGCCTTCCGTAATCACTTCCTTCCTGACCTACAAGGGTTTATCGACGAGGCTTAGTGGACGTCATTGCATTATTCTACGTACGTAAATATGTTTACGTACCAAGCCTCCACGGTTGGTCGATTAGTCGCAATCCTTACCGTTATATGATGGCTACGTTACCACTGCTAGAGACAGCCACCCATCCAACAGACAACGTCCGTTCAATTCCCCCATTAGTGATCCATAGGCACCTATCAGCTAACGCAGCCCTTTGGATGACAGTTATTCAACTGCTTACCACACCTTACCTCATTCCCGAGGGTTCGCAGTACCGTAATCACTAACAACTACATGGACATATGAAATATTTACTCTGAATTATTAAAAGGTACAATACACTGGCCAGGTAGGGGGACTGGCGAGGTAGGGGAAATCGTCCCCGACTGCCTTGGGCCGCCGGTTTGCCACAACAGTAATATACAACAGTTTGGTTTACAATAAAAAGGGTACGCGATTACACGCTTCCAGTTCCATGCGGTAACTCCTTGTCAACCTGCCAATGAATCTTCGGAAGAGAATCCCTCATCACCAGAAGACAATGGTACCTTTACTGTAGGTAGGCATGGACAGTAAATAAACGAGGTATGTAGTATTCCCTTTACGTATTCCATCTGGGTCTTCGTTCGTTGCCTTCATCATTCGTCCATGGTTGGTTCTCCACAATCGACAGCTTCCTCTTTGACCGGCCGGTAACGGTCACCGGCACTACAGCTAGGCATGGAGAGTAAGTGGACGAAGTACACAGTCATACCTTCCAGTCTTCCGTCCGTGCCTTTCATGGTTGGCTTTCCCAGTCGTCCATGGTTGGCTCTCCACAATCCACAGTTCCTTCTATGACCGACCAGTAACGGCTACCGGCACTACAGCTACACATGGAGAGTAAGTGGACGAAGTACACAGTCATACCTTCCAGTCTTCCGTCCGTGCCTTTCATGGTTGGCATTCCCAGTCGTCCATGGTTGGTTCTCCACAATCGACAGTTCCTTCTATGACCGGCCAGTAACGGCTACCGGCACTACAGCTAGGCATGGAGAGTAAGTGGACGAAGTACACAGTCATACCTTCCAGTCTTCCGTCCGTGCCTTTCATGGTTGGCATTCCCAGTCGTCCATGGTTGGCTCTTCACAATCGTCAGCTCCCTCTATGACGGGACAGTAACGGCTACAGGCACTGTAGGTAGGCATGGAGGGTAAGTGTAGGAAGTACAGAGTCATACCTACCAGTCTTCCCTCCGCGCCTTCCATGGTTGGCTCCTCCAATCGTCCATGGTTGGCGTTCCACAATCGACAGTTCCTTCTATGACCGGCCAGTAACGGCCACCGGCACTGCAGGTAGGCATGGAGAGTAAGTGGACGAAGTACACAGTCATACCTTCCAGTCTTCTGTCCGCACCTTCATTGGTTGGCTTCCCCAATCGTCCATGGTTGGCTCTCCACAATCGACAGTTCCTTCTATGACCGGCCAGTAACGGCTACCGGCACTACAGCTAGGCAAGGAGAGTAAGTGGCCGAAGTACACAGTCATACCTTCCAGTCTTCCGTCCGTGCCTTTCATGGTTGGCTTTCCCAGTCGTCCATGGTTGGCTCTCCACAATCGTCAGCTCCCTCTATGACGGGACAGTAACGGCTACAGGCACTGTAGGTAGGCATGGAGGGTAAGTGTAGGAAGTACAGAGTCTTACCTTCCAGTCTTCCGTCTGCGGCTTCGCTGGTTAGTTTCTCCACTTGTCGACGGTTGGCTCTCCTAAAACGACAGCTCCCTCTTGACCGGCGGGTAACAGCCACAGGCACTGTAGGTAGGCATGGAGAGTAAGTGGACGAAGTACAGAGTCATATCTTCCCGTCTTCCGTCTGCGCGTTAGCTGGTTAGCTTCTCAAATCGCCGGTGGTTGGCTCTCCTACAACGACAGCTCCCTCTTTGACCGGCCGGTAACGGCCACAGGCACTGTCGGTAAGCATGGAGAGTAACTGGACGAAGTACAGAGTCTTACCTTCCAGTCTTCCGTTCGCGCCTTAGTTGGTTAGCTTCTCCAATCGTCGACGGTTGGCTCTCCTAAAACGACAGCTCCTTCTTTGACAGGCCGGTAACGGCCACAGGTACTGTAGTTAGGCATGGAGAGTAAGTGGACGAAGTACAGAGTCTTACCTTCCAGTCTTCCGTCTGCGCCTTCGTTGGTTAGTTTCTCCACTCGTCGATGGATGCCTCTCCTCAATCGCCAGCTCCCTCTTTGACCGGCCGGTAACGGCCACAGGTACTGTAGGTAGGCATGGAGAGTAAGTGGACGAAGTACAGAGTCTTACCTTCCAGTCTTCCGTCCGCGCCTTCGTTGGTTAGCTTCTCCAATCGTCGATGGTTGGCTCTCCTCAAACGACAGCTCCCTCTTAGACCGGCCGGTAGCGGCCACAGGCACTGTCGGTAAGCATGGAGAGTAAGTGGACGAAGTACAGAGTCATATCTTCCAGTCTTCCGTATGCGCGTTCGCTGTTTAGTTTCTCCAATCGCCGGTGGTTGGCTCTCCTCATTAGACAGCTCCCTCTTTGACCGGCCGGTAACGGTCACAGGCACTGTAGGTAGGCATGGAGAGTAAGTGGACGAAGTACAGAGTCATACCTTCCAGTCTTTCGTCTGCGCCTTCGTTGGTTAGTTTCTCCACTCGTCGATGGTTGCCTATCCTAAAACGACAGCTCCCTCTTTGACCGGCCGGTAACGGCCACAGGCACTGTAGGTAGGCATGGAGAGCATGTGGACGAAGTACAGAGTCACACCTTCCAGTCTTCGTCTGCGCGCTCGTTGGTTAGCTTATCCAATTGGCGTTTGTAGGCTTTCCTCAATCGCCAGCTTTCCCATCGTCAGTAGGTAACGGCTGCAATCGCAGTAGGTAGGCTTGACGCCGTTTGTTACGCCTACTAACAGGAGTAAATATAAGTGTGCGTAAAAGGAGACACAAGCGAACACAAAGACAAAGACAGTTAGGGTAGGCATTGTCAGCGTAGAGCGAGACACGACGTGTGCAGTGCAGCATGAGAGAGCAAAAAGTGGCACCGGCAAGAGGCAGAGGACTATCGGGCACCGAAGCTAATCGATAATCAAGTGCAACTATGCGCGGCCGCTTGCGCCCTTGGCGACGCCGACGCAGCCGACCCGGGAACCAATCCAAACCGCGAGCAGGCTCCAGACCCACTACCCCCTCCCCCCCAAGTACACCGGTTTGCGGCGAGCTCGCTTGCTATTAGGGTTCCCCCTTAATCTGCTCCAGTTGGCCTCTATGGCGTTCGTATGCCGTCCCGTTGTGGGATTCACGAAGCCCCTACGGCGGTTCACAGTGCAGTGCCTACAACCTTCGGACGGTAGGCGGGTGCAACCTTTCCACTCATCGGTTACGATAACACTACCAGCAGCCACCCACTTCCTTATGACGGGCCTCATGGACTCCCAGCTGCGGTTGTTAATCTGCTCAAATAGGGCTTTCCGCCTCCGTGTATCGTACATATATGACCCACAACTGCCGCCGCGGTCGTCCCCTGTTATATTTGCCGCGACTTATGAGCGTCTCGTCTATCTGTTCTTCCACGCCTGGTCCCCCAATTTGGGTTACGGCGGATAAATGTAAACTTAAAAGGGTTACGTAGGCCTACAAGCTGTTCTCACCATGGATACTTGCAAATCCCGTAAAACAGCGACCGCCAAGGTCGGGAGTTTGCCGACTTGCTGTAGGTTGGTGCGGTGGTGTTGGAGTACGTCCACGTATCTTAAACATTGTTCACGTTATGCGTACTAAACGGTGCATGCCGTGGAGATCACCGATATAACAAATAGGGAGGGGTTGAGGAGGGGGGTCAGTAAGGGGCCGGGTAGTGATGCAATTGTCATAAGCACTTTATACAAATACTCTTACCCAACCGCAGTACACCGCTGACCGCCAGCGTCCCCTTTGTGCATCGTACGCATCGTTCCTATCTAACGCACACCACTTTCAAGTGCGGCGCCAATGATCCCATTGGTTAGCCGCTTGGCGGTTCAGGTTTACTCGCCCCGGCGGCCAATCACATCACGTCCCCGGCCAGCCCTCATTTGATTGGTCATTGCCTACGGTTTTCCCTATTTGCGCGCCATCCTCCCCCTATTTTTGACTTCATTAAAACAAATATTTATTTTCCTTCGATTTTCAACATTTTTCGGCTTCTATCTGCCAATTTAGTGTCCTTTGCCGTTTGCCCCGCCCGTTCTTCCCCTCAAAACCGCCATCCCGTTGTACCCGACCCACCTAGAGAGGATTTCTCACTGTGGCTGCCTGTTGGGCTTCTGCCGAAATATTTTCTCACATTCAGTCTACCCTGTGGCACACGTAGCTTGAAGGGATGTCCCCGGAAGTGAGTTGTAGTGGCGAGTTTGAAAAAGTCATCGCGCCGAAGGGCACAATCCAAGCCGCGCATGATACGGAAAGTTTGCATCATGACTCCGCGCAACTGCCTATAACTCAGAGGATAGAGATTAAGGTTAGTTAAGCGGATCTCGTATGGCAGTGCACTTTGAACTCTTACTAATTTTGTGGCTGGCCTCTGCACCCTTTCGAGCAAATCGTAATCCTGATGCATTCACGGTCTCCAGGCCTGAATTGCATATTCGAGATGGGGCCTTATAAACGTGCCGAAGACTTTGGTGAAGCAGTCTTCATCGAAAACTACGAATGCCCGCTTGATGGCATATAGCATTGAGGTTGCGGCCTTGGCCGCCTTACAGCACTGTGTAGAAGGCTTTAGGCTATCCGCAACCCATACTCCGAGATCTTTCTGAGTTTCTGCCTCTCGGAGTGACATTCCGTTTAGATGGTATTGCCGCGTACTAGGGCTCTGATTTCCGAGGCGCAGAATGGTGCATTTGTTCAAATCGAAGGACATGAGCCATCTGCGGGACCACTCGTCCAATAGACAAAGATTTTCTTGGAAGTTGGTCTCATCGGCAGCATTCTGGATGACTTTCCAGATTTTTATGTCGTCCGCAAACATGGCACTATCACAGTCCAACCCATCTACACAATCATTGATGAACAAGAGAAGGATGGTTGGTCCGACCACCGAGCCTTGTGGGACCCCACTCTCTTTGAATGTGCACTTTGATTGCTGTTGTTCTACGCAGACAATTTGGGAGCGGCCGACAAGGAAATTTTCGATTCTCTTGAGAAGTTTGCCACCGATGCCCATAATTCTCAACTTGTGTAGGAGACGCTGGTGCGGAACACTGTCAAACGCCTTCCGAAAATCAATATAGGCATCATGCACGGTGTGTTTTGCGTTCAGTGCTCGTGTCCAACTTTGCATTGTGTATAGAAAGTTCGTAACACATGATCTTCCCTACGGAAACCATATTGTGCATTGGACAAGAGGTTGTGGGTTTCCAAGTAAGCCATCAACTCCTTTTTGATGATTTTCTCCATCACTTTGCAGCAGATTGATGTCGGACTGACGGGTCTGTAGTTTGTCGCCTGAGCACGACTACCGCTTTTGTAAAGGGGTGTAATGTGGGCCGTCTTCCGGTCTGTGGGAAGAATTCCAGCATCAAACTATTTCTAGCACAGAAAGGATAGTGTCTTGGCCAGCTGTTGGGCAAGTTCAAAGAGCAGCTTTGCTGGGATCTCGTCCGGACAGGGAGATTTACATTCCGTCGAGCTTTTCAGTTCTTCCAAAATCGCTTCTTCTCGAAACACAATATTTTCGATAGTGGGATCTCTCATGTTCTCAGAATTAGATGGGGTAATTTCTGCTTATCTTGTGAAAACGGACCGGAAAAATTGAGAAAAGTGCTCAGCCTTATTTTTACTGTCCGAGATCTCCAAGCCGTCATCATCCCTCATAACAGGAATGGGATTCCTGTTACGTGTGCTTTTCCGCAAATAGCTGTAGAGCAATTTCGGATTTTTAACGGCTCGGTGGAGCAAATTTCCCTCAAAATCTCGTCGCCTCCTGAAAATCAGACTTTTCACCTTATTTCTTTGAACTTTGCATTCTGTAAACGCTGCATTATTGTTGTCCTCGCGAAATTTCTTCCATGACCTTCCTTTCTTGTTGATCTCCCTTTTGAGTTCTCGTGTAAGCCACTGAGGGCGATTGGATGTCCTAGGATTTGATAAGGGACAGTGGTTCTTCATTAGATGCAGTAAACGATCCTTGAATAAATTCCAGTCCTCGTTAACGTTTCCGAAGAAGAGAACATCCCAGTCTATCTGTGATGCCTCAGCTCTCATTTGGCGAAAGTCCCCTTTCCATATATTTGGCCTCGTATTGTCTTTTGTACACGGTTCAGAATACAGCAAGTACTCCCATAAAAGCACTACATGATCACTTCGACCGAGCGGGGGTAGGTAGTACACCTCGTCTATACTGTCAGGATCTTTGGTAAAAACGAGGTCCAGACAACTGGCCTGTTGCACTCCACGAGCTCTTGTTGGAAACAGGACATGTTGCGTGAGTAGATCTTCTAGGGTTGACTTTAGTACATGTTAATCGAAGGTATTCATCGAGCACTTTGCATGTATATCTCTCCATTGAATGCAGGGTGCATCGAAATCCCCCATGAGAACAACGTCTGGTCGGCTGGCGATCTCTTTTATGCTTTTCAGAAGACAAGTATCTGGGTCGGGATCCGCCTGCGGGGGCAGGTAGCTAGTTACGACTTCGAGGGACTGAGATCCCCGCGCCTTTATAGTCAGCCAAATTGCCTTTGTGTCGTTAGAAATCTTGTCGGTCCTCTCACACACTGCTAAGTTGCTCTTGACTTACATGGCAACTCCTCCACCCCGGCGGCCTCTCCTGTCTCTTCTAAACAAATGGTATCCTGTTAATGCTACCTCGAAATCACCAACGCCCTCTGACAGCCACGTTTCTGTTATTGCTATAACATAGGGAAGAGTATCGGCTACCTGTGTTCTCAGTTCGCCAAGCTTGGAAAACAGACTCTGAGCATTGGTGTAAAAGAATTTTAGTTTGCAACATTCGACAGTGCTTCGTTCGGTTTGTCTCGGGTTTGCCAATATTATGTTGCTGCCACCATCATGATGACTGGCTGGTTCCAAAACAACATCGCGTTCCTCTGTATCACTCGTCCCCTGAAAATGGCCAAGTTGCTTTCTCCTGCTGCAAGTCTCCTCTTCAGCTCCGTCACTAATTCGCGGCGTTTCAGACGTTCTGCTGGAGAATAGTCCAGTTGAAAAAAAACTTCCTTGTGAGAGTTTCGGAGGCTGCTTTTCCTAGACAGAAGTAAGCGTATGACATATGATCTAATACTCCTATCTAAGTTAGTTACCCTTCTTCCGTCAAATGCAATTTTTCTGGACATGTGGAAATACTAGACCATTGCAACTATCTTTAAAAGCGGCAACCGATCTCATACCCAAAACTATCGTGGTGTTCACAGAACACTACGAGGAAATAGTCCACAACCAATCGCTAGACCATCTCAAAAACGCAAACCACATTACCTCCTCTAAATATGCATTTTTACCGAGAAAGTCTTGTCAGTCCTGCCACCTTAATTATTCGAAATTCGTTTCTAGCAATAGAGATTATGGAAACACAGTATCTCCAATGTACTTCGATCTAAAAAAGGCCTTTGACAAAGTCCCCGATAAAAGACTACTGATAAAGCTAAAAAGTCATGGAATTTGGCATCCCCTTCTCAATTTTATTAAGTCGTATTTTCAAAAGCGATATAAAGTGGTGCAAATTCGAAACGTAGTCTCAGAAATATTCCCTATTGCCAGGAGAGTACTTCAAGGCACTATCCTAGGCCCCCTTCTATTTCTAATATATTGTCACGACTTATCGTTCATATCAGTATCAGTTAAGCTGTTTTTATATGCGGACGACCTGAAACTTGCATATACATATAACGGGAACACAGTTACCCATATACACAGAACAATCGAAACCGATCTGCAAAAACTCAGCGAATGGAGTTTTCAATGGCAGATGCCCTTTTCACCCGAAAAGTGTCATCTCCTGATGTTTCGCTCACAAAAACTTCCGCAATAATTTTCGAGGATAATGAAATAACGGACGCCCCACCGGTAAAAGATTTAGGCCTCAGCTATGTAAATACCCTTGATTTATCTCCCCACGTCCAGCAAATATCATCGAAAGCCACTCGCCTGTGTGGATTCATTTGTAAAAATTTCAACTTAAATGCACTAAGAATACAACTTTTCAAAATGAACGTCTTATCTCTCCTAGATTCTTGCTCAGTCTTTTTCGATATAATGCACTCAGACGGCCGAAAGAAACTAAAAGGCATTCAGAGACGTTTTACTATATCTCTGTCCAGAAGTGATAGCATCCAGGGTTCATACTTAGAACTATAACATAAATAGGGTCTTCGACCCCTCTGGATCAGAAGACTCCAAAATGGTCTACACTTCCTATTCAAGGTCACCGATGACCGAGACGTTTTCAAAATGAATTTACTAACAAACCAAAATGTCCCTGGAAACAGCAGAAACAACGAAGATATTATAAGAATCCCCAAATTCACAAAGTCTCAAAGGTCGAATTTCTACACCATAAGATACGCAATTATCGGAAATGCTCTTCCAAGTTCTATCCGGAAAAGTCGAACCCTATTCGACTTTCAAATAAAAACTAAGGGATTCCTTTTAAATAAAAATACGAATTTATTTTTGAATAAAAAGGGGCATTTATCAGATCACTTCTTTGATACAGAATTTGGTCCATAAGGACTCTGATGGTGTCAGCCGCGTGAATAATACCGGAGCATATGACTAAAACAATCAAATTTATGAAAGACATCATAATTGATAAACATAAAACAGATAGTGATATTCTTTCTTTTCTCTCTTTGTCGTTTCTACCGGCAAGGAGCTAATAAAAACATTCCTTTCGATAAAACCCTGCAAATTAGTTGTACGTACGTCTATATTAAGCCCATATTAAGCATATATACAACTATGTTAGATCATAGTAAACAGTCGACCACTACTCCCATCATGTCACATTCACAAGAACAATATGCTACATGATTCTATATTATTTTGACATTTTTGATTGTGACTTACTATTGAATGTTTTTACTTCTGGTATATACTCATCTTTCCCAGCTCTTAGTCCAGCCTCATGGAAAACGAAAGAGATGTGCGGCTGCCCTTTAAACCTGGCCATATAGACTTACAACCACTGTAAAAAAACAGATATTTTAGTTAAGTTTGTTTTACTTCCTTTGTTAACGTTCCCCTGAGCGACATTCCGCATCCTTTAAAGCAACGTTGACCGATCATTAAGCGGACGTGCAGGAGATGGAACCCCGCGTACCGACCCCTAGACAGAAAGGATGATAAATCGGAGGAAGGCTAGTTCATATCTTCTGGTTTCCCCCCTCCATTGGAGTTCTCCTTCACATATTTGATACACAAACCGCGATTCATCCCGCTCCCAATTCTCGATTTAATAAATGTTTCCTTGTTGGCAGTTCATTGCTGATATTTTCTGTTGAAACCCGTGTGGTCGGACGTACAAGATCCCCGTGCAAGTAAGAGTCGTAATGAATATGTCTGCTATGACCTCTGTTGACGAACAGCTTCAAGCGCGTTCCAAAAGCCCCAATACAGACGAGACTAAACCATCAGATAACTCGAGTATAACACCACCAACTAGAAAACACCCAAATTAACCCAACTGGAAAATACTTTCAAGGTCAGGCCGATATCGAAGTTCTTCAATTTCCGTGAAGGACATATTATTCATGACCACCCAGAAACTACCAAACTGCACACTTTAATTTTTACATTGTACATCTCGTTCTTTCTTACGACTTTTGCGATTATTTTTCCTTGGAACTCAGGTTTTTTTAACTAAAAACAAACTCTCGATTCGGGTTCTATTGGCTAAAGAGCCACCCATAACAAATGAAGTCAAAGTGCAATCGAAATGGATGAGTTTGTTTAAGGTTTTTTTTCTGTGTTGAAGGGAGACTGGCAGTGCCCAAGGGGCGCTTAAATAAGCCTATTCAATTATAGTGGGGACTTAAACGTCGTACACAAAAAGGCAGACATTCTGAACGATTATTCCCTGTTTAAATAAACTGCTATTCGTCTTCCGTTTCTAGAGCACATCCTTCTCGGTGAGGAAATCACTGAATCCATTATCCGTCATTACGAAGTCCGTGGACTTTACCTCTCTGTCTGATTTCAACAAGAGGTGGAGGCTGCAGATTTTTGCCGTTTTTAATCCAGAACGCAGACTCTTCAGTCAGTGGTGGCCAGGTGTTTACACCCCTACCCACTGGTCTGACTCATCATACCTTTGTAAGTGCCTCAAGCAGAGAGTAACAACAACAGACTCAACAGAGACGTTCAAGCCTAAATTAGACACACACCTACGATTCTCGTGGCATACAACGATGCTTTTGAACCGCAGCGATTTTCAGAGTTGGCGTTTTTCTAGTGAACACCATCAATGACCGAATAAAATCGTTAACCCTCTACGTGTACCCTCCCTACCTCCGCAGAGGAAATGAACTCTTCGTAAATACTAGTTTGGGTGAAACTACTCTGATTGGAATACACCAAATAATTGGGTCCGGATCAAACATTTGTATTCGCACTCCCAGGGCTTGCCAATGAACTGTACGAATCGGTTTCCATTACACTGTAGAAATATTCAAATCGGTGAACCACAGGAATAATGGAAGAGTGTACTTATCACACTCATTTATTGTTGGGGATCACGACTAGATACCGAACATTGCCGTCCAGGCATTTCCATATAAATTTTATGTAACTCACTCGGACGACGTGGCGAAAAGATAACCTAAATTATCTGAAAGAAGACAAGCCAACGTGCGATGGCATATGAGTATGCATTACTTACATGATAATGAACAAAGGTCGAATGGACGCTAGTCTGAGAACGCCCGAGGGGGGCCATAATAAACCCTCTCTAGTCTATTCTGCGCATGACATCCGTAGAAGCAATTTATTGATTTCTGGGAAGCTTTCGATAACGAACCAGAGTGATCATTCATGCAGAAGATTTGAGTAACTGGTATCCGAGGAAGACAATTAAAATGAATTGTGAATTTCCTGTTGATGATAATTATACGCCAGGATGAGTAAAGTTTGAATGTTGTTGCCTGGAGATTTCGCTTTAGGCCAACTACTCTCCCTGATTTGTATGAGTGTCTGCGCCAGGGAATTAGACAATAAGCCTGTCATGTCCGTCGATAACATAAAAATGAAGCCTAACATCAACAATGACAACGATATAAAGACATTGCAATCGAATGATTTGCCATACAGGTGTCTCCTAAAATTTAAGAAACTCCGATGTTTGTTCCTACAACTGAACTCTGGTCAAATCTTTGTCCATAAGAACAGCATTACATAAATGGGGCTGCAGTAAAGGATGTGGAAATTAGCAAAGATCTTGCCTGTGGACGGCCGAAAATTTGATATCCTCAGAGTGTTTTAAGAAGGTGCTCCAGAAGGCAACTGGTACGCCTCACTGGATTAGATATTAGTTCAAAATACTTCCTTTAGGATCCTTTGTAAGGATTGTTGTCTCCTTCGGGAAACTTAATTGGACAAACGAGATGCTAGTCTCCCCACCATCCAGTAGGGCAGATACGGGGGAAACTCATGAAGTAATACCTGGTTGTAGGGGACGAGACCGTTCCCTGGGGTTCGATAGCTTCTCGTTAGCTTCTGCAGATTGAGTGCGAAAGAATGCCTGCACACCTTTAAGAATGTCATTTCATCTGACATTTTATCTGACTTGCTTGACTCTCAGCTTGGAGCTCAAAATGGCTAATGGAATTCTCTCCGTCTAAATGTCGTTATATGTGCTTTGGACCTGATAGGCTACCCCAACCAGTGGTCTTTCAAGGCACACCTATGACTGAATGTACCACCATCAAGGATTTAGGTTTAAGCTACACTAGTAATCTTGATCTCTCGCCGCACGCTGACAGAATTACATTCAAAGCTGCCCAGATTTGTGGCTTTATTTCTTACAATTTCTATCTTCCTGAAATTAAATTAAGGCTCTATCGTATGTTTTTACTTCCCATTCTCGAGTATTGTTGCCCATTCTTTGGTTTGATGAATGAAGCCAGTCGTTTAAAAATTGAAAATGTCCAAAGACGTTTTTCTAAAAAACTTTTAGATAGGGAACATCCCAATATCTCATACTCAGATAGATGCCAGCTAATTAACCTAAAATTCTTATGGGTTCGAAGACTAGAAGCGGGCTTCTGTCTCCTCTTTCGCATTAATGATAGTTCAAATTTTCCTCGGATTTCAACACTTACCCCTAGTAGTCGTCCATACAATCTTCACAACTCGTCACTAATTATACCTCCTCCAGCGTCCTCCACCTCTAAGCGCTCCCATTTTCGCTACCAGGTATACTTTCCTCTGGAATAACCTTCCAATAAATATAAGATCTTCAGAAAATCTGAAAACCTTTAAGAGAAGGCTACACCTTTATCTGAATACTGACTCGATTAAACTTTTATTTTCCTCATCCTTCCCAGACAACTTTTTCTATGACACTGAGAAAGGGCCACCGGGAATTAAGCATGCCGCTATTAAATTTCCGTATCTGTTCACGTTTCCTTCCTTTATGAGTAGTCTCGCTACCTAAGATCCCTCAACAGAAATGTTAATTATTCCAATTTTTCAGTTCATGCATCGTGCCCTCACAGAATGCGCACCATCGATGCTGTTGGCGAAACCTTCTGTATTCGCCATATACTAGTAATCTGGTCGCATCTCCCTTACCCCATGTTCGAATGGAATCGGTTGAATAAAACCGACCGGATCTGGGTTCTTGTCGCCTCGAGACTGGTTGTCACCGGGCCCTTACAGAATGCGCTCCATCGGCAGTCTTGACAAAGCCTTTTATATTCGCGATATACTAGTAGTCTGGTCGCATCTCCCTTCCCCCCCTTGTTCGGATAGACTCGGTTGAATGAAACCGACCGCATCTGGGTTCCTATCGCCTCGGGACCGATCTTCATGATGCCCTTACTGAATGCGCTCCATCGACGCTCTTGGCGAAGTCTTCTATATTGGCCATATACTAGTAATCTGGTCGCATCTCCTTTGCCCTATCCTCGGATGGACTCTGATGAATGTAACAGATCGCATCTGGGTTCTTGTCGCCTCGAGACTGGTTGTCATCGTGCCCTTACAGAATGCGCTCCATCGGCGGTCTTGACAAAGCCTTCTATATTCGCCATATACTAGTAATCTGGTCGCATCTCCTCTGCCATATCCTCGGATGGACTCTGATGAATGTAACAGACCGCATCTGGGTTCTTGTCGCCTCGAGACTGGTTGTCACCGGGCCTTTACAGAATGCGCTCCATCGGCGGTCTTGACAAAGCCTTCTATATTCGCCATATACTTGTAGTCTGGTCGCATCTCCCTTCCCCCATGCTCGGATGGACTCGGTTGAATGAAACCGACCGCATCTGGGTTCCTATCAGCTCGAGACTGGTTTTCAATTTCGCCACTTATTTTTCTTATTCAAGGCGATACAGGCCAGTCCTGACTGACCCGCCTACGTACCATTTTATGAAATCCGTTACACAATGCCATATACAGCTGACATTTATTTCGGCCATGTTGATGTCGGACTATATTCCATTCTGTACCGCCACATGCAGGCCAGTCCTCCCTGTATTTTTCTGATGCTATTTTTCTGAGGGGTTTTTTTTCTCCTGTTAAATTACTACAATCATTTGTAAATTTTCCTTTGGAGTTTTTTTCACCCCTAATTTCTTCATTTTGCTTAACGGACTTCTAAGCTCAAAAACTATGTATTGCACTTTGCACAGATTTTGCCTACCTCGTCTAAAATTTGCATGTGAATTTATTTTTACTTGCTTTGATGTGACCCCGACGGGTTCTTAATAAAAATAATTGAATTCAATTGAATTGAATCTTTATTTTCAAAGGTTCTGCCGCACACTTGAAGTACTGTTCAGTTCAGTTTATTGAGGGAAATAGGCGTAAGTCTTTGAGTACCCTATTTGCAACGTAAAAAAATGTGTGGTTTACAGATAGATGTTTTGGGCTAAACTAGTTCGAACACGCCAGTAATGGAAGGAAAAAAGAGAAGGAGTAACAGGGGGTGTGCTCGACCTCTCATCACTCTTGGTCATTTCGGAACATAAATGTGTCCAGATTCTTCTGAAAAATCTTTGTATAGAATGTGACATCGCAACATCTGCGGGAAGCTCATTCCATGGTTTGACCACCCGATCCGAGAAGGAGAACTTCCGCACAGCCAGCCGTGCCTGCTGAGTGCACTGTTTTAACGGGCGAACTCGGAGGCTGGTCGTGGTAGCAAATTCAAAGAAGTTCTCGAAGGCCAGACTGCAATCAAACCCCTTTACAATGCGGAAGACTTGCAAGAGATCCCCGCGAAGTTGCCTGTAACTCAAAGGAAAGAGGTTCAGATTTACTAGGCGAGTTGCATAAGGAAAGGAGCTTTGACTCCTAACCATCTTCGTGGCCCTCCTCTGGACCCTTTCGAGGCAGTTTTGATCCTCAACAGCCCACATCCTCCAAGCTTGTATGCCGTACTCTAAATGCGGCCGGACGAATGTTCCGAATGTCTTTGACAAAGCATCTTCGTCAAAGTACAGTACGGACATTGCGGATTTTGCCACTCTCTAACAGTAAGCGGATGGAATTAGGGAACTCGTCATCAGCACACCGAGGTCCTTTTGGGCTTCGACCTCTTGTAAGGCTGCACCGCCCAGAAAGTAGCCTCTTGGGCTGGCGGATCTGTCTGTGCTGCCTAGGCGAAGTATGCTACATTTGGCAACGTTGAACCGCAGGAGCCAACGGTTTGACCACTCCTCCAACCGATTCAGGTTCATCTGCAGTCTGTCGTCATCGGCAGGGCCCCGAATTACGCTCCATATCTTCATGTCATCCGCAAACATTGCTCCTTCGCAGGCGAAATCTCTTGCGGCATCGTCCATCTAGATAAGGCACAAAATGGGTCCCAGTACTGAACCCTGCGGGACAACACTCTCGACCATAGCAGGTTCTAATTTTCACCGACCGATGCAGACAGCCTGCTGACGACCCACAAGGAAGTTTTCGATCCATTTAAGGAAGTTGATACGATCCCTATTTTTTTCAGCTAATGTAAGAGCCTTTGGTGTGGCACAGTGTCGAACGCCTTCTGGAAGTCGATGGAAGCTATGTGACCGCGTGCCTGTCGTCGAGAGCTCGGGTCCAGATTTGAAGAGACTGCGACAAGTTTGTCGTGCAGGGTCTTCCTTTCCGGAACCCCTGTTGGCAGTTCGATAGTAGGCCGTGAAATTCCAGGAATTGCATCAGTTCACTCTTTCTGATCCTTTCCATAACTTTGCAGAGAATGCATGTCAAGCTTATTGGCCGGTAATTTTTCGTCACTGCCTTGTTACCTCCTTTGTGTAGCGGAGTGATATGCGCCAGCTTCCAATCGATAGGAAGTGCTTCAGTGTCAAAAGACGTTTGAAAGAGCATTGACAAAGCCACAAAAAGCTCACTGGCACGTTCCTTGAGAAGCTTGGATGGAATCTCGTCTGGTCATGGCGACTTCGATTCGTTCAATGTCTCTAATTTTCTTCGGACAATGCCTTCTGAGAAGAGTATATCACTGACGCTTGGAGTCGGCAGTTCTTCTGTGGAGGGAGGAAGGAACCTTGCCTCGTTTGTGTAGACTGATTGGAAAAACCGTGAAAAATACGCAGCTTTATCCATACTATCAGCGATCTCAACGCCATTAGTAGTCTTTATCAAGGGTATTTGATGCCTGTTCCTTGTACTTCGTCGGAGGTAACTGTAGAGTAATTTTGAGTTCTGCGTTGCTTTTTGTAGCAAGTTCTTCTCGAATTCCCGTCGCGTTTTCATGATCAGCTTCCTCAGTTTGTCCCTCTGTGTCTTGTAGGTGTTGAAATATTCAACTTGCTCAGCGACGCAGTATTTTCTCCACAATTTGTGCTTCCTGTTGATTTCTTTCTTAAGGTTCCTATTAAGCCACCCAGGGCGTTTATTCAGTCTTACACCAGTCAGTGAGCAGTGGTTATTGATAAGCTGCAGAAGGACATTCTTGAACAGCTCGCAGTCATCGTTGGCACTTCCCGTAAACAATGAGCCCCAGTCAAGACCGGATAAGTCTGCCCTAATCTGATTGAAGTCGCCCCGCCAAACCTTACGTCTTTTTTGGTCTGGAGTATGTGAAATGGAGAAAAACGAATAATCCCACATAAGCACTACGTGGTCACTTCGGCCAAGTGGCGGCATGGAGATGATCTCGCCTATGCTGTCTGGTGTTTTCGTAAAGACCAGATCCAGGCAGTCTGCCCTTTGTCCTTCCCGGGTTCTCGTTGGGAACATTACATGTTGTGTGAGGCACGCATTTAATGTTTTGCTCAACAGGCGGTAATCAAATGCCGATTTTGGACCTGACGCTTGGAGGGTATTCCAGTTTGTTCCTGGTGCGTTGAAGTCGCCCATGATCATGATGTTAGGTAGACTGAAAAATTTCTCTAACTGCTCCAGTAGTTGAGTGTCGGCGATTCGCTCTGTCCTAGGTGGTCGGTAGACTCTGAGGACATCAAGACACGGGGAAACGGTAGTCTTAATGGTCGGCGACTGCGGTAAGCTCCCCATATACTTAATCATGAAAGACCTAAAGGGAAACACATGCATGAGACGGAGATTAAGTTGCCTATAAAAACCTCTGGAACTGGAATCAAAGCGTCGTTAAACCTGATCGACTCTTCCTGCAACGGACGTGAATGCTTGAAGACAGTACTCGTCCTGAGCAATCAATAACTGCAAAAAAGAATCAGTTCGCAATAGCGCTACTATCACAATATTATTAGGAGCTTGTTTGTTACAGTTAAAAATGCCGTCCTTTATGATCAATCAGATTCTCAAGACCTTTTCAACCATCCCCTCGTTTCCTTAAACATGCGAAACTATACGGTAATTTGTTGAATTTTCTAAAAAGTGCATTGTTTTATCTTAATACGAGCAGAAACAATTAAAGAGTTTGTAAGCAATTTTCGGATTGTTTTAATCGCCCAACTTTGTAGGTGTACATTTCGTCCAGCGAGATGTCGGCGTTTCGTAGCTCACCATCTGGGTCTTGCTCGTCGGACGAAGCGGAAGTAAGTCGCGCGATTACATTACACATTTATGGATCTGATACCTTTTTGCCCGACTTCCAGTTCGATCAATAGTTTTTCCTGCTTACGCCAAGCTCATAGTCTTGATCCAGCACCTACTCTGTGGAGATGCATCTAATACTCATTCATCCAGCACCATGAGGGTTTAAGCTTCTGACTAAGGTGTACTTTAGACATTAACGATATCCCCGATCACCAAGATGAATTTTGAAATGTTTCCTTATTCAGGGAATTTGCTAGGCGCCTTTATACTTCGAAAATCACTGAGAATGCCAGTTTTCATAGTACGCTTTTCCTCATTCGTCGCCTGCTCCTAGTATAAAAGTCTACATATTCGGCATACACACTAGTTTCCTCCTGTTTAACGCCCACGCTAATGATGCTTTGGAGCCTATATGACTGGGAAGTACTCGCGCTTGCCATGTATTAAATGATTTAGTTTTACTGTCTGCATGAATGGGTTAACGGCAGACAAAGCATTCAGGTAAACAATTACTACAGTATGAAGGTTGTTACAGGTCGAATCCAACACAAAGTGAAATTTCGTCAGGATTCCTCGCTGCGTCGTTATCATCAGTTAACGTTGTCTGACCCTAATAGTTAGCAACTATATTCACTCCTCTGCCGTCTTAGGCAACGAGCGACGTATAAAGCGCATCGACTGATCTCCGGCTTTCGGTTATTCATCTTGCGCAAACTTCAGACCAGCTAGATGCAGGGTGCTCTGTCCAATCCGGGCCAGTCTCGCCTTATCATCCCAAGTGTTTGGCTTTAGTTGAACCGAGTTCTAGATGTTTTCGACGCCCTATGCCCTCAAGGACCTATTCAGCAACAATATCGGCTTATTGCTGAGGAGTAACACTTTGCGGGTTTTTAATATCCCTAGTAGCAAAGTCGCTCATAAGGAACGTACCGCTAACCAGTTGGTTTTTTGTGTGTGAGGTCAACTGTTGATTTCATGCCTTGTTAACAGACAAGTACAAACGCATGTAGTAAACCCACTTGCAGTTGACGCCTATTACAGTTCCATTTATCTTAAGCCAGAGATCAGTTCTGTCAAGCTTTATTTCACTCGTAAAAGCCTCCCTTGAATCTGCACGACTACGCTTATGTAGAAGTGTTTTAAGAATTAATCGCGTCCCTTGCTTAGTACGTGTTTATCCGCGTGTTATGGGCAAAGGATTCCTGCATGTGTACTACGGCCGAAATTAGGTGGTATATTGCCTTACATCGTTCCCACTTCTAGCTCCACTGTTCGCATAAGACATGCGGCTGGCTCCCCAGGTATACTAGCACAAAAATGACGTGCTACAATACTAAACCTACTTGTCCATCAGGTTGGCACTGCGTGCAGCTCAATGAGGAACCAATTGCGTTTCAGACCTACGCATGGTCTCTTGTCGGGACTCCGCGAAATTCGGACGTGTCAGCTTGGCCGTTGTGAACGAAGATGTCCATCCTGTGCCCCACAGGGATGCGACTTGCGCGTGAATTAGTTTGTAGTAATAACAGACTCGCGCAACATCTGCTGTACTCCCCCTTCCCTTACCCACCCATGCTCAGGGGCAAAGGAGTTAGGACAACCGGAGGTGGGCTCAGGCACAGTGGCCGACAAAGCTAAGCAGCCCGTCTATGTTTGTCGCACGTGACCTGCTCCCCACACAATACGCCCGACTTTAACAAAAAGGGAGTTCTCGGATCCCACGTTAATGAGAGTAGCCTAGAGACCACATCCCAGGACCCAGTGCAACAGCAACCTAACAACCCCAACTGCCGCTTTCACAACCGCCACCATCGTCACCCTTGCACCAACCTATAGGGCATTTACAATGACGACGGCGACGACTTCCCTCACCACTAGTGATGATCACACTCCCGATGCTCTCAACCATCGTTCACCGCCATTTACATCATCCCTGCCATAAAGCCTGCGACGACGGCTATGACTACCGCCTCTCCCATTCCCGCCACCGGTGAGAACACTTCCTACGCCTCGTCAATCAATATCCTCAATGTCATCGTCTCAACCACCTGCAACGTGTACCCAATCGTAACCTGCATTCGCTCGATCCCACATTCGTCACACACGTTGGTTTGGCCGGTCAAGAAGTGGGCGTCTCGGCGCCGTCTCCATGCGGCTCCTTTACTACATGTGTGACTCGAGTCTGAGACTATCACAGCGCGCAAACTACCATGGCCTGGAAGGCTGCTGACTGACGGCCCAAGTCAGTCCACGCAGTCTCTCCAGTTGCGTGTTTCTGTTTGGAGTGCCGGACTGGCGGGCCGAGAGTCAGGCTGTAAGGGCTCCATCTTAACGCGAACTCTGGCACTCACACGCATGTGAGATGTACGCCGCTCAACCCCCGTTGTGTGAAATCCTGGTGCTTGTGTTTGGGGGACCAGGTCGTGCATGTGGCGCACGCAGACAGGGTCACTAGATATGTTAGCCACCGCGCCCATTCCCCGCACCAGTCAACTGACCGGCTTGAACAGTGGCTGAGGTCTGGGAAGGGAGGGTGAGGTCGACGAATCAGAGCATTTTCCTCACTATAAGCAATCTGACAAGCTTGAAGCTATCACCGTGTCCTAAATGCCGTCGCTTGGAGGGTTGCCGACTGACAGGTTAACTTAACTCGCAGTCGGCCTAGTGTGGGCTCAAGTGAAGCGGTCGACTGGTGGTCTGAGTCAGGCGGTACTGCGTACTTCTTAATGTAGCCTTTAATGGCGCTTCCACTCCGTAGGATCCCAGCCGGGTGTGACGGCACGCCTAGGGGCGGCTTCGGCCGTACCAGCCCTCC